TAGTGGGTCAAAATTTAGTGAGCTGGAGTGCAGCATCCTGGGTAGTAGTCGTAGTAAGAGTTGTGTGCCATTTGTTATGAATGTGCATGGTGCATTTACTAGATGATGATGTAAGAGGTTCTAACTTGGGACACGGTCAAAAAATTCAGTACAAATTCAGTTCAGAATATGTTCAGTACAAATTATGATGCCCACCTAAGTTGTAGTTAGTTTTGAATTTCTAAGTTTTGCTTTTTTTGTTAAAGTCAGATTTGCAAAAAAGCCATTTGAGAGTTGATCTTTTTGTTTAGCCTCAAAGGGCTTCAAGAATGTGGCAAGCCACTGATTTTCTTGTGCTGGCTGCCACCTTGTGGCCTTTGGGTTTTGGTGCAATGGCTTCCTTTAATAGAAAACTTGAGAAATTCTCTCTCTCTCTCTCTCTCTCTCTCATTACGTTTGCTGTCTCCCAGCACCATGAACTGTTTCTCTACCATATGCCACCCTGCCTTGGATCTAGCCAGTTATGGACTGAAACATCTACAAACTATGAGCTAACTAAACCTTTCCTCCTTTACCTTTGGGTCTTGGGTATTTTGTCTCAGCAATGAGAGAAAAGCAACTAGGACAATTTCCATCTACCTTTGTCCAAGAACTGGAGCCCTAACTCAAGCCAATTAACTCTAAAGTTTGTGCCATTTCCCAGGAGATAATTGTGACAGTGAAAGACCAGTTGGTCTTCATCTCTTCATGTTGGTCATAGGCATAGTAGCCCCCCTTTATATGAGGGGGTGCACTCCAAGAACCCCAGTGGATGCCTGATAGTTTAGTACTGAACCCTATATATACTGTTTCTTCCTATACACACAACCTGTGATTAAGTTTAATTTACAGATTAGGAGCAGTGATTAACAGATTAGGAACAACTGTTAACAATAATTATACAATAATCTTAACAATATACTGTCATGAATGTGCCTCTTCTCTCACCATACCTCACTGGACTCACCCTTCTTTGTCTTCTGATGGTGTGATACGATGCAGTGCCTACAAAGTGAATGAGGTAGGCACTGTGACCTTGCTAGACCACTTCCTAGGGGTCACCCAAACACAAGGGCTGCAAATCCAGCACCTCAGCAGTCAGTCTGAGAACAGAGTGGCTAAATGCCTGACAGGTTGGGTGTACAGCATGGGAACTGGGTGAAGGATGACCCATGTCCCACGTGGGATGGAGTGGATGGCATGGGAGTCCATCTCGCTGATCAGAATGGTGTACAGTTTAAAGCTCATGAATTGTTTATTGCTGCAGTTTTTCATTTAATAATTTTGGACTGTGATTGACTGACGGACTGAAACCTCAGAAAGCAAAACCGTAGATGGATAGCCTACTGTACTGTCTTTTTCTGTAAGGACTACTGTACTTGCAGGTGATATGGCCTTCTGTATCTTAGATACTTTCTCGTTGCTGAGACACAGTACCTGACTCTGGCACGTTAAAGGAGGAGGTTTATTGCGAGGTTTCAGTCCATAGTTGGCTGGCTCCAAGTTAGGGGAGCATGGCAGAGGAGGAACAGTCCAAGGCATGGCAGTGGGAAGCAGGGAAGGATCAAGGGAGGAGGAGGGGGGAGAGAGACTCTTCCAGGCCACGCCCCCAGTGGCCCACCTCCTCCAGCAAGGCTTTAGCTCCTAGCATCACATTTAGCTATAACCTCATCAGTGGGTGGATCCACTAAAGAGTGTCATGTGCCCATGATCCAGTCACCTTGCAGAAGCCCCATCTATGCACTCATGAGGGCTGTGGGAACATCTAGACATAAACCATAACAGATAGAAAATGGGTGCATGCCTTCCCTCCTGTGACACCTTCCATCCTGTCTTGTCATCTTGTTCATGCTCTTCTTGGAGCATACACAGAGCTTCTCACACTGTATTGCAATTCCTTTTTTACATGGTGATATTATTTATGAGTCTGTAGGCTCCTTGCAGGACATTTTGTTGTATTTGTAAAATATTGCCTAGCAAAGTATCTTACACATGTGTAGCTAATATTTGCTGTAAAACAAATGACTTAGGTGAATATGGATGTCTGATTTGGCATTTGAATTTTTTCTTTGGGGTTTTGAGACAGGATGTTCTGGACCTATGTAACCCAGGGTGGCTTAGTATTTGAGATTCTCCTGCCTCAACCTCACAAGGGCTGGGATTACAGGTATATACCACTCCACCTGGCTGGCATTTGAATTTAAAAACATTGTAAGTTTGTAGTTAGGCATGGTAGTGCATGCCTGTATTTCCAATACTCTGGGAGGCTGAGGCAGAAGGATTGAGTTTGAGCCCATCCTGGGCAAATTAGCAATTTAAAGAGACCCTATCTCAAAAAAATAAAAAGGGCTGGAGATGTGGCCCAGTGTGAAAGCACTACATTCAATCCCCAGTACTGGAAAAAAATTGCAAGCTTAAGTTTCAGGAAGGTGGATCTTTCAGAATGAAATTTTTTTTTTGTTTGCTTTTTTGAGTCAGAGTCTCACTGTATAGTTCAGGTTGGCCTTGAACTCTCTATGTAGCCCAGCTTGGCCACAAACTCACGGCAATCCTCCTGCCTCTGCCTTCCGAGTGCTGGGATTATAGGTGTGTACCATCATGCCTAAAATGTATTTTTTAACATTTTACATAAATGTACAATATTGTGCCAAAATTATATTGTTTCTAGTGATATTAGTAAAAATTGCTTTGCTTTTTATAAATAAATGCATATTAACTATGGTGAACACTTTTCTTTTTTAAAAGCTAGATATGTTCATGTTTGTGAATGTATGAATATGTATTTACATATATATACATATATAATGTATTATATATTATGTATTTACACACACGCATACATACATATATATTTTCCCTTGACACAGAGACCTTTATGGAGCTATGTAGCTAAAACATATATTTCATTACATTTCATATATTAAAACACTGTATTCAAAGATATTTCAGAGGGCTATGGTGATAGCTTAGTGGTAAAATATTTGCCTAGCATGTGTGATGCCTCGGGTTCTCGCAGCAGCACCCTGCAAGAGAAAAGAAGATATTATAGCAATAAAATGTCACTGGACAGGGTCTGAGGAGGTCATCAGAGCTGATAAGGAACCTAACCCACTCCCCTCTAGACTAGGATTGCAAGTTCCCTGACTCCTGTCCCGGGAAAAGAACTTTCAGCATGCATCAGTAAGAGGCCGAGGAAGGATTTATTAGGCAGAAATTTCTCAGCGCCACCACTGCCATCTTGAGCTACGTACTTCGGTTGCAGGACCGTTCTGTGTGCTGCAGTGTTTAGCAGAACCCACGCCACATGCTAGTAGCATTTTGCTGTTGTTTTGGTGCTGGGAATCAAACTCAGAGCCTCATGCATGATAAGCCTGAGCTTTCCCACTGAGCAGCATCCCAAGCCCTTCCAGTTTTGACAACTGAATCTCTCCAGCCAGTGCCATGTGCATGTCCCAGGATCCAAATCCCCGCCCTCAGCACCGTGACAAGCGCGGCTATGGATGGTAGGTCAGTCTTGTCCCCTGGGGAGAGATCTCTGGCAGCCTCATCCTTTCCAGTAGGGTGGGGGACGACCCTTTCTGTGCGCTTTTTCATGTCTTGTTTAGGGTATAATCTTAGAACTACTGACTTTCAGAAGTCAGCTCTTTGAAGAGTTTATAAAAGGCACCGAGAAGGGGTGCATTTCGTACTCTTCTACCCATACGCTGTTTATACCACCCTGGCCACTGCTCGCTGATGTATGCCAGGTATTTAGGTGACTGGTCGTTGTGAAGTGTTGCAACATTAATGATTTGGCTTCCTTTGGAGTGGATCTAAAAATGCTGTCTTTGTAAATCTACCTCAAATTAAAAGGAGGCTGACACGACTCCAAAGACTCTAAAATCTGAGAACGGGATTCCAACTCTAATGTACTGATTGATAAGATGATCACAAACTCGTTTTAAGTATCAAAAGTACTAGCAGTCTTTAGCTTTACTAATAGGCTGGTTTCTAAAATCTTGACTGTAAACGAGTATTTCGAACACATTTTGAGGTAGGAAGGCATTATAAATAGCAGTTGGATCCCTGTGTCTACTCAGAGATGCCTATCACTGATCACCTGCCCCGTGTCACAGAATTGTTTCATCAAGGAGGCGAGTAACGCCCCGCTGCTTCTGTAAAAAGCTTTTGAGGGGCTTTCCAGGAGTACGAGGAGATGGGATAGTAGGGAAGACAGGACAAGGTAAATTGTCTGCTCCCAGGTCCTTTGACTATATGGCCGGTCTATAGAGGATTACAATAAAATAACTGCCATTTTGGGGTGATGATGAAGCACTGGAGTTCTACTTCATGTGTGGCCATATATTAGGAGCTAGCTATATGTACTTAGGGGCTCACCTTCTATTTCTTTTTTTTTTGGTGCCAGGAATCAAACTCAGGACCTCGCACTTGCCCGGCAGGTGCTGTGCCACTAAGCTATATCCCCAGCCCTCACCTTCTATTTCTTAAACAAAAAATAGACACACAACCTGATACTTATAAATTTGGTGTAAGTTAAATACATGAATGTGAAGAGGGGCCTGAGGGGTTTGTTATGACCAAGCAGTGAGTTAGGGGGCCACAACCCACACTCCTTGGCTACCCTGAAAGGTACGGAGAGGTGTTAGAGGAGGACGTGAAGAGCTCAGAAACTAGAACGAACCTATCTGCGTTGTCTGCTTTCGCCTTTGCTAGCTGCCCTTCTGAGCTTTAGTTTCCTCATCTGTACAGCGGAGAACCCCAAGAGCTGCTTGAGGATTACATGGAACTGCATCAACTTGTTTAACCCAATGCCTGGCCCATGGCATGCACTTCGTGTTGGTTATCATTGTCATTACCACTTTGATCTAATCTGATAGTTCCTGTCTTTTGGTATCACTGTCTACCCTTAACACTAAGTATCTGTGGCATGAGACATGGTTTTATTTTTTATATTTTCCAAGAAATTACTACTGTAAACAATGTGGCCGTGAAACAGTGACTTCTTTTATTGAGCACACTGAAGGCTTGGAAGCCTTGTAACTTGATGAAGTATTTTTCAGTTTTGTTTGTCAAAATACTTCAGTTTTCCAGCTGGATCTGGAATTATCTGTGAAAAACAAAAGCAAGAGAAAAAAGCAAATTATTCATTTCAAAAGCCAAAATACATCACTAGTAGTCTGGCATTAGCTGCCCATCTCTGAGCAAAACTAAATTTGTCCTACCTACTAATCTCAGTGATCCCCAAATGCAAATAATTTTCATAAATTAACATCTGTACTCAAGCACCACAAAATTTACTTACAGCTCTTCTCTTGGCCACCAGGCTTTCATGGCATCTTCGGGTTTGATCTAGTTAAATCAAACACATCGAGAGCAAGGCTACAGATGTTAATGTATTTGGAAAATCATTTGCTGATTAAATGATGGTATGCCACAGCGGCCTGGAAAGAAGGTGCCGTGTTCACTAAGGGGATAGCAAATGATTTTTTTTTTGTCTTTTTGAGACAGGGTCTCGCTATGCAGTTCAGGCTGGCCTTGAGCTCACTCTGTAGCCCAGGCTGGCCTCAAACTTACAGCAATCCTTCTGCCTCAGCCTCCCGAGTGCTGGGATTACAGGAATGTGCCGCCACACCCAGCCTAGCAAATGAATTTTTGGAGGTCTGAAGTGCAACTTTTAATTTTTTTTCAGTTTTTTTTTTTTAAAGAGAAAACAAAACAACAAATTTACAAATACAAAGACATAAACAGCATAAAAATGATACAGAATTTCAAGCAAGGTGGTAGGAAATTAACAATGGTTGTTGTATTACATATTGTTATCTTCAATGAAGTGCAACTCTTTAATCTCGTTTCAGAATAAAAAAACACCCAGAAACCAAGAATTAAAAAATGATATTACGTTTAATAACTAGTGAATGAATATGCTGAAAGAATATTGTAAGAGCATCATAGCCTTAGAAACCTTAGACTTAAAATAATATTTCTAATATGACGACTTTACATTATGTTACTTTCCAGTTAATATATAACTTATTGAGCCAGGGTCTCCCTATGTAGTTCATTCTGGCCTTGAACGCACTATGTAGCTCAGGCTGGCTTTGAACTCCCAGAGTTCCTCCTGCCTCAGCCTCCCGAGTGCTGGATTACAAGTGTGTGCCACCATGCTTGGCTAAAAGTTTTGATTTTAGAGGATAACAATTTAAGGATGTTTAAGCATGTTTCCAAATTGCACTCTGGCCAGAGACTACTTTAGAGTTTATCTATAAATTATACAGCCTCCCTAAAATAATGTACCTGTCCCAATGTTTTCTTTCTTCACATGAGAAGGACAGAATCATTAGTTTCAGTGTTCTTTAAACCAGGTTTTCTCAAAGGCTTTTTACTACATATAGGCAGGTTTTGCTTGTGATTGTTTTCTTGGATCATAAAGTCAGAAGAAATTCCATAAAATAAACTTGTTCTACCAAGTCACCACTCTGCCCTTTGTTTTGTCTTTTGGAAGAGTGTATTTCTCTGGACACTTAGTTTTAAAATTCATAAGCACCAAACCCCATATTCTGCGCTCTCCAGCCTCACATATTTTCCCTCCAGTTGAGGGAATGTCTGCACTCTGACTACTACTTACCAATGTTTACTTCACTTATGGGATCAAGACAGCTCTATGACAGGGAAAGCTTTTCCTAAAGTTAGCATATTGCTTTTTGGGCTCTAGCCATGCCCTTAATGGAAAAATCAACATGACTTACTGTTTCACTACCAGGTTTCCAGCCAGCAGGGCAGACTAAAAGGAACAAAAATGGACAAAAGACAAGTTAACAACAGAATTTAGTTTTCTTTAGCAATTCGTTTTGTTTCTATATCAAACTGAAATTAATAGAATATATTAATAACATTTCCAGACCACCAAGCACTTGACTTTTGGGGCGGTACTAGAGACTGAACCCAGGACCTTGGCACTGAGCTACATCCCCTGCACCTTCTTTTTATTTAGAGATATTGTCTCCCTAAATTGCCCAGGCTAGGCTCGAACTTGCAACCCTCCTGCCTCAGCCTCTCACAGTGCTGGGATTACAGGCATGAGTGACTATGTTTGGCCAGCATTTGACTTCTGTTACCTTCCTCTTCACACCAGGAAGTTTTAGTCATGGAGCTGATTGGTAGGGAGCTCATCTATTTCCATTTTTACCAATTACATTTAGTTACAGTTTTATTTTTATTTTTAAAATTTTTATTAGTACACGTTTGCAGTACACTATATTTATGTTCCTCATGGGGAACTGGTACGTGTACATAACACATCTTAATCCTCTTTTCATCTCCTCCTCCCCTCTGCCTCTCCTTTCTTCTCTGTCTCCCTGCCTTTTGTGAAAGATCTATCTCCATTGTTTTGCTCTTTATTTATAATTACATTCCCAGTATGAGAAACTAAGTGGAATTCCTCTGCAACAAAGCTGGGAAGTTTGGCAGCGTGGTGGGCTGAAAAGGCTGGGCACGGCAACAGCTCCGAGGTGACATAAACTTGCCGTAAGCCCGTCTGTCTCCTATCCCGCGGCACTTCGGACTCATAATGATGCCTGTTTGTCAGGAGACTGCAGGACACACCCTGACTCAGGCGCTGAGTTACATTTTTCAAAGGAATGCACAACATATTCTATTTTAGCACAATTTCACTTTTTTCCTTTTAGCTACTGATGAAACGTGGAGTGGAAGGATGAATTCATAGATTACCAGTGTGAAACTAAATAACCGCAAGAGTTACATCACTTAAAAGCCAGATCCAGTAATGTAAATGGGCAGATGAAACCTACATTCGTACTGGCACATTTTAAGTTCACAGAAACATGATTTGAAAGGTTGTAGTAGCACAGACTTTCCTCTTTGAGTTTATCCATAAATGACTACGTAAATACTCAGTAGTTTTACTTATTCAGGAAGCAGAATAGTGATATACTGTCAAAAGCACTTTAAGTTAAACCTTAGTTTCCTAAAAGGATCTAATAAATTGAAAGCAGTCAAAAATAACCTTCAGGGTGAGAAACCAAACTAACTATGCTTCCATCTCCCATGCTAAGAAGCGGCAAGGTACCTTCTCCATGCTTGTCGGTGTACTGGAATGCTTGAACCAGACGTAAGGTCTCATCCACCGATCGGCCCACAGGAAGGTCATTGAGGGTAATCTGCCTCAGGATTCCTTTGTCATCAATAATAAAGAGGCCTCTGTGAAACACAAGCACAGCAGACGTGAGGCCACTGCTTCTCAGTTACAAGAAGCACTAGTGAATGTGAATCCCTGTACCATCCACCCGGAAGGGTGCCGGACAGGACCGACAGCGTGCTCCCCGTCTGTTAGGATGCGCGCACCCTCCGCCCCCGTCGGCTGTGGGACTTGGGATGACTCCTGTGAAGAGGTGTCTTTTAAGTTGGTTTTGGCTAGGAAATGTACTGTAACATTTACAGTTGTTTAAGATTATATGACCTGAAAAAACGATGTGTAGAAACTACTTTGGAAATAAATATAATTTAAAAGAGAAACTTCATTCAAATAAGATTAAAATAACTAAAAACAATATTAATTGTATGTGGTCAATGTTCAAATAATTTCAAATTTTTAAAACTGCCTTAGTCCTTCTAGTGACAGTCTTACTCTTTGGGAACTAACCTAGTAATACTTCATGAAAGCAGAAAACCTTAGGGACCTGACAGGTACAAAAGAGAAACAGAATGGTGTGACGCAGGGTGGATGGGCCTTGAACACCCTCTGAGTGAGCAGGCTGACAACCAAAGCGCATGCGCTGCAGGGTGTCACATCACACAGGCTCAGGGGAGAGGAATCGCTGCCTAGGGCGGAGGGAATGGCTGGGGGAGTAAGGACTGCTAATGGGTACAGGGCTTCTTTGCGGAGTAATGAAAATGGTCCAAACTTTCAGTGTTCCCTGCACAACTCCATGAATACACCAAAAAGCACTGAATTGTATTCTTTAAGTGGGTGAATTGTATGGCATGTGAACTATATCTGAATAAAGCTGTTATAAAAACAAGATTTAAAATACTGACACTCACATGAAACATTTAAAGAAACTACTGGCCCTACAGAGTAAACTAGCAATGGAATTATAACAAAACTACAACTCTTTTAGGCTAAAATCACCCTTTTTCAAAGAATTGTGTTGGTATTTGTTAGCTCAAATAACCCAGTGAGAGCTGCTGGTTAAGGCATTCCTTTAGCTGGGTGTGGTAGTGCACATTTATAATCCCAGCACTCCTGGGAGGTTGAAACAGGAGGATGGCCATGAATTCGAGGCCAGCCTGGGCTACACAGTGAGTTCACGGCCAGCCTGAATTATATAGCAAACCCAACGTCCCTCCATACAGTAAAAAAAAGATACTGCTGTAATTTATCCCATTCCTAAGGCACAGGCTTGCTAAATATTATATGTATGTATGTATGTATGATGATGGCAATGATGATTTTAGTGTTTTGAGAGAGGGTTCTCACTTCATAGTTCAGGCAGGCCTTGAACTCACTATGTAGCCCAGGCTGGCCTCAAACTTTATATGTGACCCTCCTGCCTCAGCCCCCCAAGTGCTGGGATTCTAGGTGTGTTGCCATGTAACACAGAATCTGTGCTTGGCTCAGAATCTGTCTCTTTTATCTATAAAAAGACAGGGATGGTCAAAGACCTCCAAATAACCTTCCAGCTCTCACTGTCATTTAGGGCACTCACTGGTTATTTTATTTTATTTTATTTTTTTGTTTTTCTTCCAGTACCAGGAGTCGAACTCATGACCTTGCACTTGTCAGGCAGGCGCTGTGCCACTGAGCTAAATCCCCAGCCCCTCACTGGTTATTTTAAAGAATATCTACAACATTTTTGCCAAGTGGAGCAAAATAATACTTCTTGATCGAAATTTGTATCTTCTAACTTAGAAACATCCAATTCCAAAGGATTATAAATGTACTTGGGCTTTTCATAACATAAATCACAGAAAAGTACCTCAGGGTGTGACCTGCGTCCTCTAGATATACACCATAGTCCTTCGAGATCTGATGGTTCAGGTCAGAAAGAAGCGGGATGTTTATCGACCCTAGTCCTCCTTGTCTCCGAGGGGTATTAATCCTGTAACACACAGAGCACTTCCTCTTAGAGCTGAGTAAACAGCACATATTAAAATAGCCAGCAATCTTTCTTTGCATGTGCACATATGTGAGCACACACCTATGTAGTCTTTCTCTAACACAAACAGGCTAATTGCTTATGATTGTCTTTTCCCCACTTAACAATATGTCCATCTCTTTCACGCACTAAATACTGCTGCAGAAAACACATTTTAATGAGTGGATATGCTATCTTTTATATATCTCTACTGACAGTAAACTGTTTGCATGGAGACATCCTTGTATGCTCATCTTTGTATGCCTGTCTGGTTAATTTCCAGATCAAAGGATATACACTGTCAGTAAGCATAACCTCAGAAATGTGATCGTAACACAAAGCCTTGAGAGGCAGAGTATGAGTGCACACATTTTAATATTTGGGAAGACAAAGAATGCAACTGGGAAGAGGTGGAGAAAGTTAGGCATCATCCTCAGAATGAAGTGTTCTGTAAGCTGAGGCCCCAGCGGGGCACTGAGACCAGGGCAACCCTGTCGTAGACATCTGCAGCCCCGGATCTGCCATCCAAGTATGTAGCAGTCTTGGTTGGTATGAAACCTACTTAGCTGAGAACATAGCCCAGATTCTCTTGGGAAAATGATCCCAAATTTTCTAAGATGACACCAGTTTTTTCTTAGTAGACATGTTTTAATCCTAGGAAGATTTAGAACCATGCACGGTAGGAGTGGTGATACAAATAAGCCTAGTTTTCATATTTTTTATATTTAGAACTGATCAGTCAATATTTGTATATTAAGTTATTTTTAATGTTCAGGAGATTTTGTTTTACTGGAATTACCTGAGTGTTTGAAAGGTTTGTCTGAAAATTGAAGTACTTTCTCTTTTTTGGGAGTGGGCTGGTACTGGAGATGGAACCCAGGTTTTTTACACTGAGCTACACCCCAGCCCTTTTTTACTTTTAATTTTTACTTACTTTGTTTTTTATGAGTACGTATTTATAGTATGTAATGATCATTGTCCATGGGGAATTGGTACATGTACATAACACACCATAATTCTCTCTTCATCCCCTCTTGGTCCCCTTCCCATATGCAAAAGCTGTATCTAGCTATTCCCTATTCTCTACCTTTTATTGACTCTATATTTATACTGTGTTTTTTTTTTTGTTTTTGAAATAGGGTTTCACTATGTATTTCAGGCTGGCCTTGAACTCACCATGCCTGGCTTATGTTTCTCATATAAGAGAAACCATGTGATAGTTAAACTTGTTTGTCTGATTTATTTCACTTAACATTATGATCTCAAGGTACATCCATTTTCCTATTAAATGAGCCATTTATCTTTATAGCAGAGCAGTACTCCATTAGGTACAAATATATTTTCTTTATCCATTCATCTGTTGGACAGCTAGGCTGCTTCCAAGATTTGGCTAATGTGAATTGTGCCCCTATAAGCACGGGTATGCATGTATTACTGTAACATGATGTCTTTAACTTTTTCAGGAAGCTATCTAGAAGGGGAAGAGCTGAGTCAAATGAAATTTGTTTTAGTTTTTTGAGGAATCTCCATATTGACTTTCATAATGGTTTAAGAGTTTATATTCCCACCAACAATGCAGAAGTGTTCCTTTTTCCCCAGCAGCCTCGCCAAGATTTATTATTGGTTAATTTCTTGATGATAGCCATTCTTTCTGGACTTGGATTGAACCCTCTACAAACTGTGAGACAAATGAACCTTTCCTTCCTTAACTTTGGATGTTGGTTATTTTGTCTTGGCAACAATAAAAGTAACTAAAGGAGAATTTGGTACCAGAGAAGTGAGGTTGTTGCTGTGACTGTACCTGACCGTGAGATTTAGGAGCCTTTGGAGTGGGCTTGTGGGAAGAGGAGGAGTTAGGAAAGCATTGGAGATGCTGGCTGAAAAAGTGGAGCTGGAACATAGGCTGTACTTGATGGGAGATTCTGGTTAGAGCTCAGAAGACCAGAAGGCTGACAGAAAGAAATTCTGCTGGTAAAGACCAGGCTCAGGAGGTTTCTGCTGGGAAGAAGGACTGCACTGGTTGTTGGTTTCCAGATGATGTGTGTGTTATGCCTTGGCAGAGTTTGTCTGCATTTTGCTGGAGTCCAGGGACTTTGCCTGAGACTGAGATTAAGGGCGACAGACTAATTAATCTGGAAGAAAAAATTTCAAGACAGTCTAATGTTGAGGCTGTGGCATGGTTACTGTTGGGGGCTTTTAGCAAGATTTGTGTTGAGAATCAAGAGCAAAGAGCCCAGCAGAATGATTCAAAACACTGTAAATTTGGCCAAAAAGGAAGCATTAGTAAAATGCGGACTGCAAAGATAGATCAGAGGTGGTCTTGATTGCTGAGAAGGAAAAGGTGAATAGAAAAGATGGACTGAAGGTATCACGAGAAGCAGCAGGACCCCACACCTTCTGCAGCCTCAAAACTGCAAAAATGAAAGACTGTTTTGGGAAGAGAGTCCCAGAGCACCATGTTCTAGAATGGCAGTGGTCTAGGGAAGTTGTTCCTTGGGATTTAGTTCATAGGCACTCAACCCATACAACCAAGAGAGAAGGAAGCCTGGCTGCTGTCCCAGCTGGCAGTAAGCCTTGGCATGATCCACATGGCACTTATTTTAGGCACATGCAGAATGCAAGAGTTGTGGAGTCAGGAATGCTTCCACCCACATTTCAGAAGGAGGCCTGGGAGGCCATGCAGTGTGTCCCTGAGAGGGCAGCATGTGAAGATGTGAGTATGAAGCCAAAGGTACTGTGGAGACCCCAGAAGTTTGAGAAGCCAGGAACATGGATTATCTGAAGAAAGATTGAAGGAGGGAGCAGACCCCAATCCAAGAGAGAAGCCATGGGAGCTATAACTACTGGTAGTGCCATAGAGGTGGAGCCACAGAAGCCCTATGGCAAACCTACTGCCAGTATAAGTAAATGAGAAGAAGAGAAAAGCTTTCCCTCTAAAATCAGGAACAAGACCAAGATGTTCATTATTGCCACTCCTGTTCAATATAGTTCTCAAAACATTAGCCAGAGCAATCAGACAAGAGAAGGAAAAGGAATATATATAGAAAAGGAAGAAGTTAAGTCATCATTGTTTTGCAGATGACAAGACCCAAAACATTCCCCTAAAAGACTCCTAGAATTAAAAAACAAATTCAGTAGGTGTTTTAGTTACTTTTCTTGTTGCTGAGATAAAATACCTGACACCCAAAATTAAGGGAGGAAAGGTTCATTTGGCTCACAGTTTGTAGAGGGTTCAATCCATAGTCAGCTGACTCCAAGGCAGGGTGGTGTGACAGACAGGCTTCAAAGAGGAGAAATAGTTCATGGTGGAGAAAAGGTAGCAAAACAAGCAAGGAACTAGACAAGCCTCCTTCTGTCCCTTATATTTTATGCAGGCCACTATAGCACTCACACCCTTGATACCAGCACTACACACTCTAGATCCAGTTGCCTCTGAAAAGCCCGGCTCCCCCATGACTGCATTAGGCTTGCTGGGGACATCTAGACACAATCCATAACATTCTGCCCCTGACCCCCCAAAGACTCATGCACATCCCTTTATGCAAAAGGCATTCAGTCCACGTCCAAGAGCTGCCAAAGTCCTAACAGTGGCCTTGCTATGCAGTTCAGGCTGGCCTTGAACTTGAGGTAATCCTCCTGCCTCAACCCCCAGAGTGCTGGGATTACAGGCATGTGTCACCATGCCTGGCCCTATCAAAGGCTTTTTCTGCATCTACTGAGATGATCATGTGATTTTTGTTCTTGCTTCTGTTTACATGATTTATTACATTTAGTGATTTGTGTATGGGAATGCATCTTTTCATCCATGGGGTGAACCCTATTTGGTCATGATGTATGATCTTTCTGATGACTCATTGCATTCTGTTTGCCAGTATCTTGTTGAAGATTTTTGTGTCTATGTTCATTAAAGAATTTGGCCTGTAGTTCCCATTTTTGTTTATGTCCTTTTCTGGTTTTGGAATCAAGGTAATGCTAGCTTCAGGAATGACTTTGTGAGTACTCTTTTGTTTTCAATTTCATTAAAGAGTTTGAGGAGTACTGAGATTGTATCTTTCCTAAAATTCTTATAGACTACCTTTTATTTTGAGATAGAATTTTGCTAAATTGCCCAGGCTGGGCTTGAACTTGAGATCCTCTTATCTCAGCCTACATTGGTATGCACCACCATGCCAGCTGAAAACCGAGAAAAGGGAATGAATTCTTCTTTTCTGTGTGTGATACTTGGGATTGAACTTTGTATTTGTCCTTGTGTCTCTCAGGCAAGTGCTCTACCACTGAGCTACACCCCTGTCCAGTAGTTAATTTCTTAAGGAAAGATAATGAAATTGCATCTCCCCAATAAATTGAAATTTTTATATATACTCACATATATGTATGTATATATATAATTATATGTAGAAAAAACTTGTTTTGAATTTGTAACTTTAATGAATTGAACATTAAGATTTAAATCCAAAAGAATTGTAAATAATTGTTATTATGCACAAAATCATAAGCAAAAAATTGTGGACTCTATTAAAAACTCACACACATATGTATGTTTTAAATTTTAAGACATCTTGCTAAACTGCTTTCCTGAAATGCTAAACCACTGTGTGTAAATACCATTCTTCACATTTTTGCCAACATTGGATGCATTTTTTTCAATTTAACAAAATTTTAAAAAATTTTTTTGAGTACGTATTTGCAGTATATAATGACTATATTCATTGTGGGGAGTTGGTTCACGTACTTAATTCTTTTTACTTCCTTTTCAACTTTCAAATCTTGCCCAATCAGACAGTGAGAAACGGCACTTCTTGTCATTCTGATGTGCAATTTTTTGTAAGTAGGTGGAAAAATCTTTTCATGACTAAGGAATTTAAAAGAATTACTTTAAAAAAATTATTCCTTCTTGAAAAGTATAAAAGGTTTTATGGGTTTGACTTACCATACCCACGAACTGCACAGCAGAAAATGGTATATTTTGAAGATTTTTTTCCTCCAGATGAAGGTCACTCAATTGATCATAATAAAGCAATCATACAATCTAGTAGTTTTTGCTATGGAAATCACATCCATTATATTGAACCCTCCCCCATTTTAAAAGGTTAGGTAAGCATTTTTACCATAACTACACTGAACTAGCAGCTCATTGTACTGCTCTTAGATAAATCTGTTCCTCAACTGTCTGATAAACAGCATTATCATGTTTATCTGCCCATGATTTAGAAGGAAATACAACCATTTTTTTTGCCACAAATTTAAGTGTAAAATACTGACCAGGCCAAATGGGTGAACTGTGAATCGACAGAGCATGCTACCACTTCAGTATTTATGGATCTGAATTCTTCAATTCTGTCACCAAAAGCGATGATTTCAGTTGGACACACAAAGGTGCTGAAAGGTAAAAAAAAAAAAAAATTCAATATTCTCAAATAAGAATACACCTGAGGGGCTGGGGATTTAGCTCAGCGGCAAAGCGCCTGCCTGGCAAGTGCAAGGTCATGAGTTCGGTTCCCGGTACCGGAGAAAAACAAAACAAACAAAAAAAAATACACCTGAGTGTTTAAATGAGTTAGTTTTTACAAACACCTTTACTATATAAAAATGTACCTTAAGAACGATTTTATATATGGTGCTTCTCAAGATGAAATTTCCCTCCTATATAGGTCCTTTCCTTCCTTGTGCGGCCGCGGTTTTGCTCTTAATACCATCATGCTGTCAGAAGCACATGTCTAGCAGCTATTACCTAGGGCAGTATTTTTCAACCCCTGGTAGGGACTCCTTAAATTGAGTTCCAACAAATACTTTAAAAAGTAAAAGAACTTTTAATCACTACCTACTCAGTGTCTAGTAAGCACGGGTTTTTCTCATGAGGGGTGGGATTATTTGGTGTTGAACAGCTTGTGCTGGGATCCCAATTGTACATCAGACAGGTTTCTTTTTTTGTTGTTTTTTGTTTTTCTTCCGGTACCAGCAATCAAATTCACGACATTGCGCTTGCCAGGCAGGCGCTTTGCCACTGAGCTAAATCCCCAGCCCCAGGCAGATTTCTTTCTCTCCTCCCTTCCCCTTCTGTTTCCTTCCCTTCCCTCTTTCTTGCACTGCGGATTCAGACCAGGGAACACAATCACGTAGATTTCAAGTATAAAGTACTGAGACGATGGTCAATGGGTTATGACTCTGAAATACATGGTAGACGTTTTTTTCCACAGTAAGATTTTTTATTAGTAATTTTTTAATTGAAATGTTTGTTGATAGTTTTATTTTGTAAGCTTTCCCTTTCTTAAGATAGCCAGTTATCTCCTCCTTGATCTGAAATCTCTAATCCAGTGACATAAATGACACTGTATTACAGCATGTTGTAAACTGTTGTTTTCACGAAACATTAGATTTTACAGAAAATATTTCCAAAGTTTTACCACAGGGACTTCAAGCCTGCCTTAAAAATGTTACCTTCTAAATGGGATCCCTTAAATCAAAGCTTTTCTTCCCCCATTGAAATCTTTGTGGCCTTAGCACTGTGGACCTTTTTTTTTGAGACAGGGTCTCACTACATAGTTCAGACTGGCCTTGAACTCACAGTGAGCCTCCTGCCTCAGCTTCCCAAGTGCTGGGATTATATACATGCACCACCACACTCTGCCTGTAGATATCTTTCTTTAACTGCCTCCCTTGGTTTCTTTTTTGTCTTCCACTTCTCTAATCACTCCAAGGTTTTCTCCATGTACCCCTCTTTCCCACCCTAATCCCCAGCCGTGAGCACTCTAAGATTCTTTCTCTTGTCTCTTACTCTGTCATCCTCAAATCCTTCCCATCTGCATACTCCACTCTCTAAAGTGTTATCTTTTTGAATGAATTCCTTATTTCAGCTTGCCTTTTTAAGAATCAACAGCTGAATAAAAATCTCTCAACATTTGATGTTCTGGAATAACGAATGATTAAAGACTGAGGTTTTACTAGTTGCTATTTACATGTATTACTTACAAATCAAGTGGGTAGAAGAAAAAAACCAAGTATTTCCCATGGTAATCGGTTAATTTCAGCTCCTTGAATTCTCCATTTATCACAGCTGTTCCTTCCCAGTAAGGCGCTGGCTTGGAAACTAAGAAAGAAAAAGACACGATGTTCTGTGACACTGTGAAAAACTGATGATGGCAGGAGGTTGTCTTTTTTTTTTGATGTTGCCAGGGATTGAACCCAGGGCCTTGCGCATGCTGGGCAAGTGCGCTACCACTGAGCTACATGCCCAGACCTCAAAAGCAGGCTGATGAAGCTCAACGACTTCCCAGAACTTAAGTGTTACTGAACTCATAAAATAAAATACTGTACAGAGAATTATGGAAACCAATTACACTGAAATGCAATCATCAAAATATTATATAAATCTAAATTAGTGATACAGCAATACATGTGTTCTTTTATTAACACTTTAAAACTACAGGATCCAGCAATGATCTAATAACTTATTTAAAATAACTATTTGTTTTCATGAGAAACCACTTTGAAGATATCAATATGTAATACAACAAGCATTGTTAATTTCCTACCACTTTGTAACTCTGTATTGTCTGTACTATTCTTTTGCTATTTTGTAAAAGGTTGTCTGTCTGTTAATGTTTTCCTTTTATTTTTAAAATAAAATAAAAAAATAACAATGAGTAGCAATGATGTTTCAGGACACGTGCTGTAACTACAACATATCACGAAAGTATCTGTGAGTGTATTCACAACAGGCACAAGTGAGTGCTGCTGAGGCTAGCAGGGTTCATTGCCTATGTCCACAATAGGAGGACATGCTCAATTTCATTTGGGGTGAAAATGCCTTGTTTCTATCCAGGCTCACCCCCAACACTCCATGCCTGCAGGAAACCTGTTGGATACTTCATTGTACCGCCCCAACTTATCAACTTCTACATTTCAAATAATGAGTTTTTAATGGCAGTTTTCCAGATGTACTGACTCAGTTTGTCCAGTTTCTCATGTACACAGGGGAGGACCTGCCACAGAAGGCTACCCTATACAAGGAGGAAACGTGCAAATACACTAGTCCGTGGGATAATTTTCCTGGAGGGTTTAGCAAAAAGAGACCCCTCCCCTCCCCAAACAGGTTTCAAATGACCTGATGGAAACTGAATAGGTAGTGCTGCTCTCTAGGAAGGGCACGCTGTAATTCTAGCCAATATCCTCTGAGAATAATGTAGCTTGGTGCTGTTTACACATTTATGATTTCAGAACCGTTACATACACTGAGGTCAATACTTGCTTGCAAGTTCGACTGAAGTTACTAGAAAATAATTTATACTTTTGTGTAACAGCCAGCATTTGTGGTCACTCCAAAAAGAGACAAACTGAAGATGAATTTCTCTGTGAAGTTAATATATAACATGTGACTACTTATCTTGAACCAGCACCCTAACTCATAAATAATCCTGATCTGATTAGGTAAGGCCAGGAGGGAGAATTACATAGAAGGGTATTAAACTATATATACCTCTATCATCTATCTATCTATATCTATCTATCTATCATCTATCTATCTATCTATCTATCTATCTATCTATCCATCATCTGTCTTAAATGCTACTCAAATGAGGTTATTATAATTCTAATGATCTGTAACAATGACAGTCCTTAAAGATTTTAACATATTGGAACCCTATATGGAACACTGCAGGAAATAAATTTTGTTCAGAAAATTGACTTTGGAGATTTAGGTTCTTTTTTTTTGTCTTTTTAAGACAGGGTTTCACTATGCAGTTCAGGCTGGCCTGGAACTCACATGGATCCTCCTGCCTCAGCCTCCAGTGTGTTGGGGATCACAGGTGTGCGCCACGACGCCCAGCTGTGATTTTGGTTCTTGATTTAAGAACTGCAGTCACTTTGATAAAATCTATAAATGGAATTCCCAAAGCAATCTGTTATCTATTAAAAAAGAGATAAATTGTCCTGCATATAAATTATAATTAACACAAATTCTGCAGAGATGTATAATGAATAATATTTAAATCCCTTTATAACACCTACCAATTTAACAATTTTTTTGTTTGAGACACGGTCTTGCTATGTAGTCCAGGCTGGCCTCAAATTCCGCAATCCTCCTGCCTCAGCCTCCTGAGTACTGGGATTACAGGCATGTGCCACCATGCCCGGCATTAACAACTGTTAATACTTTGATGTTTTGTATTCTTTTTTAAACACCCCAAATCATGTCCCTGCCCCCCATTTATATTTTTTTCTATTTTCTTAAGGGAAATGGTAAAGTATCAAGTTTTTCATGTTACTATCGACGATTTGAAAATATGGCCTTATTGGATTTAAAATATCCCATTTTATAAATACAAATCCTTATGTCTCCAATTTTACACGCGTCTACATATGACACAGAGATGTAGCAAATACATAATATTTGAAAAAGTCTGGGAAAGCTATTATTATTATTTGCTTCCATAAGCAACTTTGGAGTGAATTTGTTTCCGATGGCAAGTATACATAGTATCAGTAGAGACTTAACTGGCTGTTATGTTTCAAAATATTTTCCCAGGCAAATGAAACCAATGGGACTGGGAAATGCTGACTTTGGAAGTGCAATATTGCTTTCTAAATACAAAAATGTAAAAGCAGTTAACTTCCAGTATGAAAGAGCTATGGAGAAGGTTAACGATTTTTCTCTCATTCCCACCTCTCCTTAGCTCCTAACAACGTCCCATCTATCTCTGGGGATTCCTAATGGCAAAGCATTACTTTCTCCATCATGAGCCATGACCACCACAAAAGCCAAGTACACACCTACCGAATGTCAAATGATCTGTAGGAAAAGTAGATTATGCAAAAGCAAGTAAGGGATAGTGTTTATTTGTATTCCCTCCTGGTCATTTCTTTTTGGCTACTTTAACATCCAGATGTAGCAAGCCACAGCTTTCTCCTTATCTGCTTAGTCTGACGTGTCCTTCCTGCAAGTGGCCAGTAGCTTTGTACACTGGACAGAAATGCAAATAATCAAAAGCCAAACTGGCAGGACACAAATATGCCACGGGATTTATCATCAACCCAGATGTGCTAATTTCCAATCTCCTTCCTCCCCCCCCCCCAAAGTTCATTCTGTAACCCATTTGCGGAAACACAAAGAATACCAACGAACTATACAGCTTTTAGGGAAGATGGCTTATAAATCTTTATAAAAAGCAACAACAAAAAAGGAGGAAAAACGAAATATTTGCCTGAACATTCTGTTTCACCACTTTTCTGTTTAATCAAACTTTCTGTGAATCATTATTCAACCATTCAATGCATGCTTCCCGGAAAGAGTATTGGAAGAGACAGGACGTGCCGCAAGGCACTTCACGGTGCTTGAGGAAGTTGTTTCAGTTTGCACAACACCCTGCAATGCCTGCAATCCCAGTAGGGCCACTTTCTTTGCCTCATCTGTGGCTTTTGGGGTAACCACTAACTCTTCCAAAATCTGATCAGCAGAAACCATCCCTTTCTTCACAACTGGAACCCCCACCCCCATCCTCCAGTTCCCGGGGAGAAGCAAGCAGGGTCAGGGCCCCAGGGCGGCCCAGGGGGTGCCGCCCAACCCAGCCCCCCACCTCCATAGCCTCGGTGAGCAGTGTCCACGTGTCTCCGGCTCCCCCCACCCGGCAGGGCACCACCTACTCTTTGCTTTGCTTAGGTGCAGGGAGTGGTCTGCGACCGATACCCGGGACACTTCCCCCGGGTACACTTGTCCACCCGCGTAGAAGTGGCACTCCTCTTCGCGGGTCCGGGGCCTCTCCTCTGCCTCCAAGCCCCGCAGAGCCCCGATCTGCAGCAGGAACAGCAGCAATGGCAGCAGTTTTGGGCCTCGGCCGGGGACCGGAGTCATCGCAGCTTCTGGCCGCGGTGGCGCCTCCATGACCACGCGAGCGCTGAAACGTCTCTTGCAGCGCGCGCGCTTTCTCCTGCCGCGCGCACTACACCCGCGCTAGCCAGGGCGCGGCCTCGCGAGACCTGCTCCGCCCCACTCCTCCTCCCGCTTGCCACGTGGGTGCCGGCCCCGCCTCTTTGCCTATGGGGTGGGGGACTGCGCCTGCGCTTTGGCGCGGATCTCGGCAAACTTTCCCAATTTTGGAAAGGCAGCCTCCTTCCGCCTCAGGAGGGCTTGCTGTCATCTTTGTGTTGGACGTCCTTCCGCGCCCATCTCTTTCACAAAGCTGCTTCACACAGTCCCCCCAGAAACAAACCAAACTGGGCGTGGTGATACACCAGACTGGGGCGGGAGGATCGAAAATTCAAATTGCCCGGGGAATTTAGTAGTTTAGGGAGATCCTATCTTAAAATTAAAAAGAAAAAAGAAAAAGAAAGAAAAAGGACTGGGATGTAGCTCATTGCAAAGGCCCCGAGTTCAATCCCCAGCACCCAGAATAAAACAGAACTGAAACTAAGCAAATAGGTGGCTCAAAGTCAAATATTGCATATTTTCTCTCATGTGGAATCTGAAAAAGTTTTAAGAAAGAGATGACATGAAAATAGAAGGAAAATATTAGAGAAAAGGAAGGGCATCAGAGAGGAGGAGAAGGGAAGGGTAAGGAAGGTAATGTGGCGTGGGTGGGTGTTGTGGTTTGTGTCTGAATGTGGCCCCAAAGCCTCATGCAGTCATGGGGCGGGCTTCTAGAGTTTGTGATTGATCCATGGTCCAATGCTGGGATTATGGGTGTGAGCGCTATACCCGCCCTGGGGCAGGCAGTCGGCACACAGCCTAAGGAAGGGAAAGAGGCTACTTGCCACCACTCCTCCCTTTTGCGCATGTTGCTTTTGCTGTGTTCCGCTGCCACGAACTGTAGCCCTCTGCCACGTGCCAGCCAAGTATGGACTGAAACCTCCATAAACTGTAAGTGAAATAAACCTTTCCTTCCTTCATTTTGGGCGTTGGGTATTTTGTCTCAGCAATGAGAGAAATGTAATCAAGACAGAATTTGGTACCTGAGCAGTGGGGTCACTGCTGTGACTATACCTGACCACGTGGTTCAAGAGTCTTTGGAAATGGCTTGTGGGAAGTGTTTGGAAAGGTTCAGAGATGTTGCCTGAAAGCGAAGCGCTGGAATGCCTTCAGCTGTTCTGTCTAGGAGATTCTGGTCAGAGCTCAGAAGACCAGAAGGCTGATAGTAATCCTCCTGGTAAAGACCGGGTTCGGGAGGCTTCTGCTGGGAAGAAGGACTGCGTTGGTTGTTGGACTTTAGATAATGTGTGCTATGGCTTGGCAGAAAGTTTGTCTGCATTTTGCCCGAGTCCAGGGACTTTGCCTGATACTGAGATTAAGGATGGTGGTGGACTGATTAATCTGGCAAAAGAAATTTCCAGGCAGTTGAATGTTGAGGAAGTGGCATGGCTATTGTTGGGGGCTTTTAGCCAGATTCATATTGAGAATGAAGAGCAAAGAGCCCAGCAGGATGATTTAAAATGTTGTGAGTTTGGCCAGAAAGAAAGCTCCAGTAAAGCTGTGGACTGCAAAGATAGAGCTGAGGAGATCTCCACTGTTGAGAAGGAGCAAGAGAATGGAAAAGATGGCCTGAGGGCATCACAAGAAGCTGCAAGTCTCCACCCTTTGCAGCCTCAAACCTGCAAAGGTGAAAGACTTTGAGAAGAAAGCTGCAGAGTGCCATGTTCCAGAATGGCGGCAGCCACACCAGATTCCAGCAGCGGCGTAGAGAATTTGTTCCTCAGAATTGGATTCAGAGTGCCCAGTGTTCCAGGCACTCGACCCCTATGACCAAGAGAGAGGAAAGTTTGGCTACTGCTCCAGGTGGCAGCAGACCTTGGCATCATCCATGTGGACCTGGTTTTACGTGCATGGAGAATGCAAGAGTTATGAGGTTTAAAAGGCTTCCACCTCATTTTCAGAAGGCCTAGGAGGCCAGGCAGTGTGCCCCTGAGAGGGCAGTGTGTGCAGCTATCAGTGAGAAGCGAGAAGTTCAGTGGAGACCTCAGACGTTTGGAAAAGCCAGGAATGTGGATTGTCTGAGAAAGGCTGCAAGCAGGGAGCAAAGCTGGTCCCAGAGAGAAGCCGTAGAAGCTGTAACCACCAGAAGTGCCACAGGGGTGGACTCATGGAAGCCCTTTGGAGCTCACAATGTGCCACAGATAGCTTCAGATGCTGGATGTGGAACTACAGGACATAATGCTAGCCCTGTTGGATTTTGGACTTGCTTTGGTCCCAATGCTTTGTATCCCCCTGTTTGTACCTTTTGGAATGGTACTGCTTATTTTGTGCCATTGAATGTTGGAAGTGTTTAACTTTTCATTTGCACAGGGGCTTGCAACTAAGTTTGCCTTACATCTCAGACGAGACTTGGGACTTGGACTTTTCAGCAATGCTAAAACTGTTAGGATTTTAGCAACTCTTAGAGCTGGGCTACAATGCCGTTTGTATGAAGGGATGTGCATGAGTCTTTGGGGGGCCAGGAGTGAAATGTTACGATTTGTGTCTGAATGTCCCCCCACATCCTCATGGGGCGGGCTTCTAGGATTTGTGATTGATCCATGATCTAATTCTGGGATTATGGGTGTGAGTGCTACACCCGCCCTGGGGCAGGTAGTTGGCATACAATGTAAGGGAGGGAAAGAGGCTGCTTGTCGCCATTCCTCCCTTTTGCACTTGTTGCTTTTGCTGTGTTGCCCTCTGCCATGTGCTGCTCTGCCTTGTAGCCAGCCAAGTATGGACTGAAACCTCCATAAACTGTAAGTGAAATAAACCTTTCCTTCCTTCATTTTGGGCGTTGGGTATTTTGTCTCAGCAATGAGAGAAAAGTAGCCAAGACAGTGGGTCTCAAGGCATGGAAAGATGGCCCAGGGCTACAGAGATTCAGATGGGAAGATTATATTGAGAGCTTTAATAGACATTTTACTATTTTTCCCCCTTTAGTGGTGCAAACAGTGGCATGACCCTACTCTAGCTGTTGCTCTTTCAAGTCTAGGGAAAAGTAAGAGCAGACAACAGCAAACAGGCAGTATTGGGTATCTTTTTAAAATCAAGTCTTGTGAAGTTCCCAGAAAACTCCTCTCCCAGTACAGTGTTGTTCCACGACAATATCCCACTTCCCACTCTTGGCCTTCTTTGCCCCCAACGCCTCTGTGCAACCCCACCTTCACCCTTAACTTTGCGCCTGCGCCCTGGGTTTTATGACGCTTCTCCGCCCCCAACGCCTCTGTGCAACCCTACCTCCCCGCTTAACTTTGCGCCTGCGCCCTGGGTTTTATGACGTTTCTCTGCCCCCAACGCCTCTGTGCAACCCTACCTCCCCGCTTAACTTTGCGCCCCCGCCCTGGGTTTTATGACGCTTCCAGCTCTCAGTTCGATGTGCTCCTCCTCCCACATCTTTCCCACAAAGCTTTGCGTGTGACCGGCTTCCTACCTCTGAAGTGATCCACTTCCAGCCTCTGTCCCTGCCTACTCTGTCATCCTTCTATAAAGAAACCCCATTGCATGCATGCTATTGTCCCCCAAAGCTTACTGGCTTGCATTTTCTTCTTCTTTTCTGTGTAAGCAGTGTTATGATTCCCCTCTTCCTTTGTAACCCTTTTCAGTCTGTAGAAAACTTAAGAAAGGTCTAATCTGAAAGGTAGTATCCTTCAGACCATTTCTTCTCTTCCTGCAGGATAGGAACTGCAGGAAAAACAGGCAGTTTGGGGACACAAGCTTGTCTCAGGTGTATACTTGCAGAAAGCAAAGCTTGTGGGTCTGAGAGCACAGCTCAGTGGTACGGCGCATGTACACAAGGTTCAACTCAGTCTCTAGCACCAAAAAAACCCCCAAAACTAAAATTCAAAAAACCAAAAACCCCAAAAACGCACACAACAGAAACCTTAAAAACTTCCCAGAAAAATCCATTTCCCAGAACATAATTGTTCCATCTTTTGACATTTACTCTACTTGCTACCCATATTGACTAGGATTGGGAAGTGGGGGTTGGGGGAAGCGATACAGCACACGCCCGAAAGAGGGAGACCATCGGCAGGCTTTCTGCCCCCGAGGAGCCTCATGTCTTCTTGGGAGTTCTTGACATCTTTCTGAATCCCGCAAAAGTCGTTCTAACAGTTTGTATTTCCTCTGTTAGACTGTCAATTCCCTGGGGCTGAAATCAATGCCTGATTGGTCTGTTTTCCAAAGAGCCTGGGTAAGCATTTGATACTGTAAGCACTTGATTTTACAAGTAATTTCTAATATTCCAAGAAGTCTTTCTGACTTTCAAGTGGTTCTCATATGTTATATACTTAATCCTTGTGATAACCCTTCGAGGCAGATAGAAAATCTGTCCTTTCTCAACATCGCTCACCCTGCTTCTTCTTACCATGGTCCCTACTTTCTGCTTCCTGGCCCCCGCTTTCTATGGGCATACGATGAAGCCAGCCCCCTGCGCTCAGGGAAGGAGAACACATTCTTACCCATAATGTTTTCTTGCGGCTCTTCGCTCTCTGGCGGTGTGTAGGTTGGAGGAGGCCTCTGACGAGGTGGCTCACACTCCCATTCTTCTCCTTCCCTGGCCTCTTGTTCCAAGTGGAAGGGGAGCGGGGCCCGAGGGGCTCGGGACTGAGCCCCAGGGATTCGGCTCAGGCCTCGTGGGCGGCTTCTGCGATCCATGGTGACTGCCAGGTAAACAGCCACAAACCTGAATTCTGGACCCTGAACTGGGCCTCTGAGATTGGCCCGGGGAAGGAAGCGTGGGGAGAGCTTTAGGCCCTACGCTTCTTTGCCTGGGGCCGAGCTGAGATGCCCCAGTTGATACCAGGGACTGCTCACCAAGTGGGCCCCAGGGAACTCCCTGCCCACTGGGGAGAGTGACCAAGTTGGCCAGCTCCCTGGCACCGCCTCTGTGCCCCTCAGGCCTACTGGCGCCCCCTGGCAGCTGACACTCTGACTGGCAGCTGCTCTGAATCCTTTCAGCCAATGAAATTTGTGCAGACTTTGTGATGGCACAGTGACACCCAACAGGCGGGTGGGGGGGCCCGGGGTTGGGGTGGGGCCCTGCCCTCTAGGTACTTGCCATCTGGTTGGAGTCACCCATGTTAATAACACAAAACAGTCGCACAGAAGAGTGCTTTTAAACCCAGGGTGCGCCTTAGACACACCTGGGGATTTTAAAAACAGTCAAAGGTAGAGAGCACAACCCCACAGGTCCTTGGGTATCATTAGTTTCACAAATGGGCAGCTGCAGTTAAGAATCACCACAAGTGCAGGTTAAAGACAGGTTTGGGGGTCAGCATTCCTAGGTTCAAATCTGAGCTTTGACATCCATTCGCACTGAGGCCTTGAGAAATGTGTTTAACTTTTCAGAGCCTCAGTTTCTGCTTCTGCAGATGGAAGGCAGTACTTTGCTTGTGTTGTAAAACTGAAATGATAGGGTAAATGTAAAGCCCAACTTCACATCCATGTAAAGCTGCTATTTTATTGATCCTTTTGGCAAGAGATGCTCCAGCCTCAGCTCCAGCCTCCAGATTTTCTTGTGGAAGTCCAGTGATGGCAAACCTTTTAGAGACCGTGTGCCCAAACTACAAACCAGAAATCTACTTATTATCACAAAGTGCCAACATTACAATTAATCCTGGATACTGAGGTTTTAGTTTAGAAAAAATAACTCACACATTAACATCTTTAATCTTAAAAGAATAATAACATGTGTGCCATAGTTTCACCATGTGCTAGTCTCTAAGCCAAGCTTTCTAAAATTTTTTCTCATTTTGTTGAGGTCATGGTGTTGCAACACTTGTCCCTCTCTCATTCTAGAAGCCCTCCACCAAGTTACGAGGACAGTCAAACAGCCTTTGAGAGGCCAGCTGTAGAAAGAAATGGAGGCCTTCCCTGAACTATCGGTACTGCTTTGCCACCCTTGTGACTGTACCACCGTGGAAGCAGGTCTTCTAGCTCCGGTTGGTTCTGGTAACTCTGGCTCTCACTGGCTACTCGACTGCAGCTGATGAAAGGCCTTGGGCCAGGACCCTCCCCCCTCCCCCTGCCTTTGGCCTGACCATTCCTGAATTTGTGACCCACATAAACTATAAGTTTAATGAATATTTATTACTTTTTCATTGTTTTTTTGAGACAAGGCCTCACTATACAGTTTAAGCTAGCCTTGAACTCACTATGTAGCCCAGGCTGGCCTTAAACTTGTGGCAATCCTCTTGCTTCAACCTCCCAAGTGCTGGGATTACAGGAGTGCACTACCATGCCTGGGCTTTATTACTATTTTAGGCCTCTAAAAGTAAAGCTTTAGTACAGTTCTTGGTTAAAAAAAACACTGTTACTCTTCTCATTCATATTAGATAATATCAGAGTCAGTTTAAAAAGTAGGCGTTCAAAGGACTGAGGATGGTATAGAGTGGCCAGGAAAGGCTCATAAAATAGTAATCATGACTGGTTGTTCTGACTCTCCGAGGGTTGAAAGCAGCCCTTAGACCAACATGGACATGTTTTGCCGCTTTATAATTTGTATATATGTAGGCAGGGTTTGGTAGCGGGAGAGGACAGGAGAAAGGCAAATTTCAAACATAATTTCACCTTAATTTACATTTGTTAGAGTAAACGAGAGCACTGAGTGATCAACCTTTCTCAAGGGTATTTCACAAGCCATGGATATGTATTTTTCTACAATAATGTTTAAAAATCTTCAAAAATATAAATCTTAACAAATCTTTAATTTTTTAAAAAATCAGAGATATCTCTGCTAGGCAGGTCTTGTGCATATTTACAGAGGCATCAAGGGGATGCGATGCCAGGGGTCCTGCAAAGTTGACCCATGCTCGGATGTCTTCCTCACCCATGTTCCCTGCTGCCTGACATTGTCATTGCCCCACTTACTCTTGTTCTGAGAGTCACCCTTTCATGGTGCACCCGGCCACCCTCAGAGATGTAGCTGCTAAAAAGGACCCTAGATTACTTACCTAAACTCAGGAACCCTTTCTAAGCGTGTGCTACATGCTAGACACTGCCATTCGGAAGCAACAATAACAGAAGCAGCACATTCCAGCAATTGTCAAGCTAAAATTCCAGTGGTGTTCACAGATGTGAAGCCAGTGCTCACATAAATGGAGAAATGTAAACCGGTAGGTGCAATGAAGGGAACTGCAGATGTCTGAGGGTTTGCAGCGTAGAACACAGGAGTTAGCCTGGGTGGGTGAGTGAGTGATCAGGGAACGTTTTCCTGAGGAAATGATGTTTGAGTCCTGAAGAAGAGGCGGGCATAACAAGGTGAAGAAACATCCTGAGTAGAAGACATTTGTTTAAAGAATGGAGATGAATACCTTACAGGTCCAGAAAACAATAAGAAGCAAATCTTTTTCTTTTTTTGAGAGAGAGGAGAACATGCTATATAGCTCAGATTGGCCTTGAATTCACTCTTGAGCTCACTATATAGCCCAGGGTGGCCCCAAAATTCCCATCCCATTGCCTCAGTCTCCTGAGCGCCGGGATTACAGGTACGTGCCACCATACCTGGCAATAAGATGGAAATCTTGATGTTGGCAGGGATTACACGAACTCCAAGACTGGATGAGATTCAGGGAATGTATAACATGAATTACCCTCATAAATTAGAGAAAGGGGGAAATTTAAGCCTAGAAAAGGGCACTAAGGTAGAAATCTGCAGTCTGGCTTAGAGTTCAGGTGTTCAGTGTTCAGGTTCCATGTTGCTCTTTACACTTACTGTAATGTTCTGTCTTTGGATCTGGGTGGGTGATAATTTTGGGTTTCTTTTGTAAAATGTGGGAGCTTGGTCATTTTTTGCACATCTTTTTCCTTTATAGTAGATATCAAAGTTAGTAACTATACGTTTTTATGATCATGTGATAAATATCCATTAAGCTATGAGCTCAATAATGGAAGGCACCATTTCTGTTTTGCTCATGGTAATATTCTTAGCAACAATTAGACTATCTGGCACATACTTTATTACCAGTGAATGACTGCTGAGAATATTAATGAGAACCTGATTATTGAAGGGAAGTAGGAGATACCCAAGGCCCAAGGCATTTGCAGGCATATGTATTGTATGAAACCATACGCGAGGAAGATGAGAATGGGGAAATAGATTGCAGTAGGACTCCATGAGTCCAGGTTTTCCCATAGTAATGTTTCCTTGTACTATTTGGGCCCTAACCTAAGTCAAAGAACCATTGCGTTCTCCACAGCTATTCTTTGGGAAAATGGATGAGTAAAGGAGGAGGAAGAGAAAGAAAGGCAGGTGAACCTAGAAAACAGGAGAAAAATCAAGAAAAATGGAGGAAAAAGGAGGATCAGGAGAGAAAACTAGGCAGTGGAGAGCAGTAGAGAGGAGAGACAGCCAGTATCCCTTCATGATATCCTTCTCTGAGCCGTTAGGTGTACGCAGACCCCACCACACATGTAGCTGCCTTGAGCTCTCTCTCAGTTAGTCCCTTCCTTGTTTTTGGAGGACCATCTCCAGGATGAGCTTCTTTCTCAACCTTCAAACAAGGGTCTTAAGGCCAGTGAATTTTTCAAGGAGGTTTTTTTCTTTCATATTTAAAGGACCATCTAATGACAGCTAGAAATATATGCTGATTTTAACTTCTTCCTAGTGAAGGCTGCCAAGGTCCCAGGGTTCTACTGGAAAAGTATAGGTGAGATCCTGAAGGCAGAAATGGGATGTTCTCACTTGAGCATTGTAGCTTGAAAGTAGGATATTATCATCTCCTATCTCAGAACTTATCTGCCCATATTTCCTGAGTCTTCTCTGAGAATGGATTTCTTCCCTCCCCCTCCCTCCTTTTCTCCCACTCTTCCTGCCTTTCTCCTTTCCTTTCCTTTCCTTTCCTTTCCTTTCCTTTCCTTTCCTTTCCTTTCCTTTCCTTTCCTTTCCTTTCTTTTCCTTTTCCTTTTCTTTTTCCTTTTCCTTTTCTTTTCTTTTCCTTTCTTTCCTTTCCTTTCCTTTCCTTTCCTTTCCTTTCCTTTCCTTTCCTTTCCTTTCCTT